AGCAGCAGAGGTGAGAGACAGGTAACACAAGCAGCAGAGGTGAGAGACAGGTAACACAAGCAACATAGGTGAGAGACAGGCAACACAAGCAACATAGGTGAGAGACAGGCAACACAAGCAACATAGGTGAGAGACAGGCACACACAAGTCGCAAGCAAAGGTGAGAGACAGGTAACACAAGCAGCAGAGGTGAGAGACAGGTAACACAAGCAGCAGAGGTGAGAGACAGGTAACACAAGCAGCAGAGGTGAGAGACAGGTAACACAAGCAACATAGGTGAGAGACAGGCAACACAAGCAACATAGGTGAGAGACAGGCAACACAAGCAACAAAGGTGAGAGACAGGCAACACAAGCAACAGAGGTGAGAGACAGAACACAAGCACAAGGTGAGAGACAGGCAACACAAGCAACAAGGTGAGAGACAGGCAACACAAGCAACAGAGGTGAGAGACAGGTAACACAAGCAGCAGAGGTGAGAGACAGTAACACAAAGCAACAGAGGTGAGAGACAGGCAACACAAGCAACAGAGGTGAGAGACAGCAACACAAGCAAGCAAAGGTGAGAGACAGGCAACACAAGCAACAAGGTGAGAGACAGAAACACAAGCAACAAGGTGAGAGACAAGGACAACACAAGCAACATAGGTGAGAGACAGGCAACACAAGCAACATAGGTGAGAGACAGGCAACACAAGCAACATAGGTGAGAGACAGGCAACACAAGCAACAGAGGTGAGAGACAGGTCAACACAAGCAACAGAGTGAGAGACAGAACACAAGCAACAGAGGTGAGAGACAGGCAACACAAGCAACTTAGGTGAGAGACAGGCAACACAAGCAACTTAGGTGAGAGACAGGCAACACAAGCAACTTAGGTGAGAGACAGGCAACACAAGCAACTAGGTGAGAGACAGCAACACAAGCAACAAGGTGAGAGACAGGAACACAAGCAACAAGGTGAGAGACAGGAACACAAGCAACATAGGTGAGAGACAGGCAACACAAGCAACAGAGGTGAGAGACAGGCAACACAAGTAACTTAGGTGAGAGACAAACAACACAAGCAACAGAGGTGAGAGACAGGCAACACAAGCAACTTAGGTGAGAGACAAACAACACAAGCAAAGGTGAGAGACAGGCAACACAAGCAACAAAGGTGAGAGACAACAACACAAGCAACAGAGGTGAGAGACAGGAAAAACAAGCAAACATAGGTGAGAGACAGGCACACAACAATAAGAGACAACCAGAGGTGAGAGACAGGAACACAAGCAACAGAGGTGAGAGACAAACAACACAAGCAACATAGGTGAGAGACAGGCAACACAAGCAACTTAGGTGAGAGACAGGCAACACAAGCAACTTAGGTGAGAGACAGGCAACACAAGCAATAGTGTGAGAGACAGGAACCACAAGCACATTAGGTGAGAGAAGGCAACACAAGCAACTTAGGTGAGAGACAGGCAACACAAGCAACTTAGGTGAGAGACAGGTAACACAAGCAGCAGAGGTGAGAGACAGGCAACACAAGCAACTTAGGTGAGAGACAGGCAACACAAGCAACAGAGGTGAGAGACAGGCAACACAAGTAACTTAGGTGAGAGACAAACAACACAACAACAAGGTGAGAGACAGCAACACAAGTACTGGTTGGACAAACAACACAAGCAACAGGGTGAGAGACAGGCAACACAGTAACTAGGTGGAGAGACAAGCAACCAAGCAACATAGTGAGAGACGCTAACAGCAGTACATTAGGTGAGACGACATACAACACAAGCAACAGAGGTGAGAGACAGGCAACACAAGCAACTTAGGTGAGAGACAGGCAACACAAGCAACTTAGGTGAGAGACAGGCAACACAAGCAACTTAGGTGAGAGACAGGCAACACAAGCAACTTAGGTGAGAGACAGGCAACAACAACTGAGTTAATCTGGGCAGAACTCAGGAGATGTTTCACATTAATTCCAGACAACAACACTGTCAGCTGCACCAGACGCAGCTGGAGCAGCAGTAGTAGTAACAAGTGCATCAGCTGGCAGATCGTGGCTCTTGGATCAGTTTCCTGTACTATTTATAAGACTTTGCATTTATCCACGTTGAACTGTATCTGTCACTGACTGGATCTGACCACGACGTGAGCTTGTCAGAGTCTTCGTGAACTTCACTGGCGTCTTCCTCTCAATCTACTGTTCTGCCTGCTCTTGTATCGTCAGCGAATTTTCCCATATTACTTGTTCTTCTCTACTCAAGGCCATCAATGTATGTGGTGAACAACAAGGGGCCTAAAACTGATCGTTGTGGGACGCCACTTGTGACTGATCACCCACTCAGGGTTCACCCCATTTATGCAGATTCTGCTTCGTGTGGTCTTTCGTGTGGTACTTTATCAAATCTTGCTAGAGGCGCAGTTACACGACAGTTATAAAACTGCAACATTAATACCCCTCCTTCAGAGTGCAGACACTCTACTTCCCATTTCCAGGACTCAAGTCCTGCCTCCCGGTTTCTCTCCATTCATAAATAAACAACGATGTCCCGTGGTTTGATTTGCAACGCTCTAGCCTCACACACTGAGTGTCCCAGGTTCGATCCCCGACATGGTCGGAAATGTTGAGCGTGTTTCCTTACACCTGCTGTCCTTGTTCACCTAGCAGTAAGTAGGTACCTGAGTGTTAGTCGACTGGTGTGGGTCGCATCCTGGGGGAAAAAGATTAAGAACCCCAGTTCAAATTAGACAGTCTTCGACGCACTGGCTTAGGTTATCCTGGGTTGCTGACCCCCTGGATTAAAAATCCCATCAAATCTTATCTTAATATTGTATTATTCATCATGATCAACCGCCTCAAAAGCTTTACTGAAGAAAGTCAGTACATTAGTCAGGCAGGAACGGCCCCTCGTGACTCCCTGCCGAGTATCATAAATCAAATTATGCTTATCGAGCTGCCTTCCTATAATATCACCTCTAATTTGACTCTAGCAATGTTCTTACAATTGAGCTCAGGCTAATTGGGCGGTAATTTGAGGGTAGTGACCTATCCCCCTGCTGTTTAAAACTTTTCACTTCAGTTGTGTTGCAGTTGTCGTCAAAGATTTAAGTTATACCATGAATTAAATATAGCTCCTGGACTTCACCTTACGAAACAGACAAAGTAAATGTGATAGTAATTATGAACAAGGTAGATTATAGTGAAAAAAATGAACGTGTTATTAGAAGACGGTGGAACTTACGCGCCTCTTAAATATTCCTCTGAATATTATTCCCCATATTCTGTAATATTCCCGGTTTACTGGAAGGCACGGACAGTGGCACTTCAGGAAAGCGGAATATTCAAAGGGAATCTTGTGGAGTGGTCTGGGAGGGGCATGGGTATCCCAGGGGAGTTAGGGGAGGAATGGGGGAGGGCAGGGAGAGATGGGAAGGAGTAGTAAGGGTGCTCAAAGAGAACTGGGTGAGGGAGGGTAGGTCGATGAAAGGAGGGAGTGTACCACAATGATGTGTAAGGTACAGGCAGGGTACAGTAGCTGGGTGATGGTACAGTAGCTGGGTGATGGTGCAGTAGCTGGGTGATGGTGCAGTAGCTGGGAGATGGTGCAGTAGCTGGGTGATGGTACAGTAGCTGGGTGATGGTACAGTAGCTGGGTGATGGTGCAGTAGCTGGGAGACGGTGCAGTAGCTGGGTGATGGTACAGTAGCTGGGTGATGGTACAGTAGCTGGGTGATGATACAGTAGCTGGGTGATGGTACAGTAGCTCGGTGATGGTGCAGTAGCTGGGTGATGGTGCAGTAGCTGGGTGATGGTACAGTAGCTGGGTGATGGTACAGTAGCTGGGTGATGGTACAGTAGCTGGGTGATGGTGCAGTAGCTGGGTGATGGTGCAGTAGCTGGGTGATGGTACAGTAGCTGGGTGATGGTACAGTAGCTGGGTAATGGTACAGTAGCTGGATGATGGTACAGTAGCTGGGTGATGGTACAGTAGCTGGGTGATGGTGCAGTAGCTGGGTGATGGTGCAGTAGCTGGGTGATGGTGCAGTAGCTGGGTGATGGTACAGTAGCTGGATGATGGTACAGTAGCTGGATGATGGTACAGTAGCTGGGTGATGGTGCAGTAGCTGGGTGATGGTGCAGTAGCTGGGTGATGGTGCAGTAGCTGGGTGATGGTGCAGTAGCTGGGTGATGGTACAGTAGCTGGGTGATGGTGCAGTAGCTGGGTGATCGTGCAGTAGCTGGGTGATGGTGCAGTAGCTGGGTGATGGTACAGTAGCTGGGTGATGGTGCAGTAGCTGGGTGATGGTGCAGTAGCTGGGTGATGGTGCAGTAGCTGGGTGATGGTGCAGTAGCTGGGTGATGGTACAGTAGCTGGGTGATGGTGCAGTAGCTGGGTGATCGTGCAGTAGCTGGGTGATGGTGCAGTAGCTGGGTGATGGTGCAGTAGCTGGGTGATGGTACAGTAGCTGGGTGATGGTGCAGTAGCTGGGTGATGGTACAGTAGCTGGGTGATGGTGCAGTAGCTGGGTGATGGTACAGTAGTTGGGTGATGGTACAATAGTTGGGTGATGGTACATCAGCTAGGTGATGGTACATCAGCTAGGTGATGGTATATCAGCTAGGTGATGGTGTAGCAGCTAGGTGATGGTACATCAGCTAGGTGATGGTACATCAGCTAGGTGATGGTACATCAGCTAGGTGATGGTACATCAGCTAGGTGATGGTACATCAGCTAGGTGATGGTACATCAGGTAGGATGAGCATTGCTGTGCACGGTCACAGGTTGTGGGGTTACCACCAGGTCGACTTGTTTACACAATTCGTCAAGCATATAAAACAGTAATTTTCTGTGTGTTTGGAAATGTGGTGACTGGAGATTTGTCACAATACCGCGGCCTTTTTATCGCGAAACCAAAAGCTAGTTGTCGTTGTGTCAATTTTATCTGGCTGGATGCCATTTGGAGGCCATTGAATTCTTTTCTCTGGTTTGTCTCATATTTCTTGTTTCAGATTCAGCATGGATGGCAGCCGAGGCGGCCTAGCATGGAGTGGCTGTACTTCACAGGAGTGTGGGCGGCGTGGGCGGCATCAGGTGGGTTGTGGGCTGTCTGCCAGCACATCTCCAGCAGCGCCTGCCCCAGCTGGGAGGGCAGCCACTGGTGCCCCTGCTACCATTTCGATGATGGTGTCTTCCTGGAGTGCTCCACGGTGTCTCTGGCCACAGTGGCCCGGGTGGTGGACCTCGTCCGACACCCGGTCAAATCCCTCAGTATATACGAACTGGACGCTAACGTGACCTCCCTCCCCCCGGGGCTCTTCAGCCAGAGTGCCGGAGTTTCCAGTCTGCAGATCTCTCATTCCAGCCTCGAGCGTGTGTCAGACGGCAGCTTTCTTGGCCTGGAAAACACACTGCAGAGCCTCACTATCACCTACAGTCACATTAGCACCGTCCCTAAAGCAGCACTTCAAAAGCTTTCCAGACTTAAAGCTTTAGACCTGGAAGCCAATAACATCACCGAACTACAGAGTTACAGCTTCTTTGATATGAATTTAGTCAGTCTTAACCTGAAGGATAATGGTCTGAGATTGATTTCAGAATACGCCTTCGACGGTCTAGAAGAAACTTTAGAAGAGCTTAATATTATGAACAACAAATTAAAGCAGCTTCCAATACCAGCTTTGCGACGGCTCACGAAACTACACACGCTGAAGGCTACGTGGAACCACATCTCCGATGTTGTGAGTGACGGGTACTCTCGCCTGCCGGCACTCCAGATTCTGGACCTCAGTAGTAATCACTTCACCGACCTCACAAGCAGTAGTCTCGCCACCATGCCAGCCCTCCTCTCCCTCTCTCTCTACATGAACGAAATTGCTCACGTGGCTGGCGACAGCTTGATACAAAACTCTGGATTGCAAACGTTATACATGAGTCATAACAACATCATGACCCTCGCTCCAGAGACCTTCTCGTACACTATGTTTATTAGAGTTATAGACATCGCCGATAACCACCTTCACTCAATTAGCAACGGGCTCTTCACTAACCTCCCCGAGTTGCAAGAATTGTTCCTCGGCAATAACAATATCTTAAAAATCACCAATAGCACCTTCACTAACTCTAGCAAGATCTCCGTGCTGTACCTCCAGGATAACGAGATACATTCCATCGAGAGCGGCGCCTTCGCTAATTTAGAATTATTGTATGATCTACACCTCAGTTCCAACAACCTGGTGGAGATCCCAGTTACTCTTTTCTCAAACACCCGCATATTAAACTCCTTGAGTTTGGACAACAATAAAATCTCAGGGCTCGCAGACGGCACGTTCTCTCATCTCACAGAGCTGAGGGAGCTGAGATTGCAAAATAACAAGTTGTCCAGAATCGAAAAAGGAGTTTTCTCCCTGTTACCGAACCTGCTAGAGCTGCACCTTCAGGATAATGTAATCAGCTTTATTGCCAAAGAGGCCTTCTCTTCTCTGGGTAAACTACAACATTTAAATCTGGAGGGTAATCATCTGATTGAACTGCCTGATGCTTTAAGTCAGTTCCCTGCGAACTTGATAACTATAAAATTTTCTAAAAATCAAATCAAATTGATTCACATAGATGCCTTTAGGGGACAAAATAAACTAGAAATATTTTGGTTAAGTGATAATAATCTTACAAGTGTACAAATGGCTTTATTAAGTGATCTATCTTTATTACAAGAATTATACATGGAAAATAATCAGATCAGCATTATCGACGATAAATGTTTCTATAGTATGAAGAACTTAGAGCTTTTATCCTTATCCTATAATAATCTACAACATATCAGTTCAGAGTTGTTAGTGGGACTCACGTCTCTAGAGAGACTTTATCTGAGCCATAACAAAATCACGGATATAAGACCACACTCCTTCGAGACCCTGAAGAATCTGCGAGATCTCGATCTCTCCAACAATCCAATCTTAATCGTCCGGCGATACATGTTTGAGGGAAACATGCCTCTTCGCACATTGAATCTAATGGGGTCGACGATCAGCGAGATCGAGCCTTACTCCTTCAGTAGCCTCCGACATCTGGAGGAGTTGAATCTGCAGCGTAACATGCTGGCTCACCTAAACAGATTCTTCATCAACGTACATAGCCTTAGGAATCTCAATCTTGCCGATAATAAGTTTGAGATCGTTGAAGAAGATTGCCTTTACAGCTTGTCTAACATCGACTCATTAGACTTGAGTGGATGTGGATTCTCCAGGCTGCCAACACACTTACTGGCCGAAGCGACGGAACTACGAAGGCTCAACCTAGCTAGAAACAACTTTAGATCTCTCAAATCTATGTTTTTCCGGAAAATACGCAGACTAAGAGAGCTCGATCTGTCGTTCAATAACTTAAATTATACCATAATGGCCTCTCTGGAGGGACTCTCGGAACTCGAAGTACTGAAACTGAATGGTAATCCTTTAGGTGAACTAAGAGAGCCTCTACACACGATGACAAGTCTTGAGGAACTCTACCTATCTGACACGCATTTAAAGAAGATGGATAACACTGTTTTCTCACAGCTCAAGTTTCTAAAGAACCTTGATCTCTCAAGCAACCGCCTGTTGGAATTCCCTCCCGGGGTCTTTCAAGGTCTGAGCATTGAGAAACTCAGCCTAGCAGAAAATTCCTTCACTCAGATCCCCAATGCCATGTTCCTGGATGGCATGTTGTCTCTGCGGGTGCTCAATATGTCCGGTAACCCCTTGAAGCGTGTGACGGGGCCACTGGTGGCCGGCAGCCCGCCACTGGCGGCTCTCGAAGAACTGGAAGCTGAGAGGAGCAACCTGACCATACTGACCAGCCACGACTTACAACTGACTCCAGGACTACGCTTCCTCAACCTCGCGCACTCCGCCATCACCAAAATATCTCCCGGGAGCTTCAGGAACCTGACTCACCTTACTCACCTCAACCTCGCATTCAACCGCCTTCAGGTGCTGCCCAGGGAGAGACTCAGGGGCCTCAAGTCTCTCGCTACCCTTAACTTGACAGGAAACACCCTGAAAAAATGCGAGCAGCTGCCTCCCGGGGCGCACTCACTGCAGGTAAGTCTCTCTCCTGTTATAATATTCATGGGCAAGTTCTGAACCTTCCCATTCCACATCTGGGTGGGTGGGTAATGGGAGGTAACCACGTCTGATCCAAGGACGGTGAGGAGGTACCTCTAGTTCCTTGGATCACGAGCACTTCACCAGAAAGGAGAGAACCTGTTTATCCTCACATAGTGTTCAGTCTTCACCCTCTTCGTCTAGTTATCCCCTGGTAGTACCTGACTGTTCAGTGACTTCAGTGAGTGTTCAGTGTGTTCATAAGTGTTCATTCTCTCCTTGCGTCATGGCACTCGCCTACTTAATTAATTACTTAATTAATAATTAAATAATTTAATTAATTATTTAATCTCAGGGGAAAGTGTCTTGATTTCCCTTGTGGATGACTGCTGCCTGTTTCTTGCCTGTTGTTTCCTGTCTGTTGTTTGCTGTCGTTTCCTGTCTATTGTTTCCTGTCTGTTGTTTCCTGTCTTGTTTCCTGTCTGTTGTTTCTTGTCTGTTGTTCTCTGTGTGATGTTCCTTATGTGTTGTACCTGCAGACCTTGATGTTGTACCTGCAGATCTTGATGTTGTACCTGCAGACCTTGATGTTGTACCTGCAGACCTTGGTGCCATCTCATTCTTGCTAGAGTCATTCCCATGAATGAATCTATCTGGACTTCCTACTCATTTCTGTAACATTGCAAGCTCCTGAAGATATGATGACTGTAACACGAAAGGCCTAGAGCTATCATTCAACTCTCCCCGTGGTTGTTTTTGCATCTCGTATTGATAATATATATATATATATATATATATATATTATATATATATATATATATATTTATATATATATATATATATATATATATATATTTATATATATTTTTTTTATATTTTTTTTTTTTTTTATTATACACCGGGCCGATTCCCACCAAGGCAGGGTGGCCCGAAAAAGAAAAACTTTCACCATCATTCACTCCATCACTGTCTTGCCAGAAGGGTGCTTTACACTACAGTTTTTAAACTGCAACATTAACACCCTCCTTCAGAGTGCAGGCACTGTACTTTCCCATCTCCAGGACTCAAGTCCGGCCTGCCGGTTCCCTGAATCCCTTCATAATGTTACTTTGCTCACACTCCAACTAGCACGTCAAGTATTAAAAACCATTTGTCTCCATTCACTCCTATCAAACACGCTCACGCATGCCTGCTGGAAGTCCAAGCCCCTCGCACACAAAACATCCTTTACCCCCTCCCTCCAACCCTTCCTAGGCCGACCCTACCCCGCCTTCCTTCCACTACAGACTGATACCTCTTGAAGTTTTTCATTGTTTCGCTCCATTCTCTTTACATGTCCGAACCACCTCAACAACCCTTCCTCAGCCCTCTGGACAACAGTTTTGGTAATCCCGCACCTCCTCCTAACTTCCAAACTACGAATTCTCTGCATTATATTCACACCACACATTGCCCTCAGACATGACATCTCACTGCCTCCAGCCTTCTCCTCGCTGCAAACATTCATCACCCACGCTTCACACCCATATAAGAGCGTTGGTAAAACTATACTCTCATACATTCCCTCTTTGCCTCCAAGGACAAAGTTCTTTGTCTCCACAGACTCCTAAGTGCACCACTCACTCTTTTTCCCTCATTCAATTCTATGATTCACCTCATCTTTCATAGACCCATCGCTGACACGTCCACTCCCAAATATCTGAATACGTTCACCTCCTCCATACTCTCTCCCTCCAATCTGATATTCAATCTTTCATCACCTAATCTTTTTGTTATCCTCATAACCTTACTCTTTCCTGTATTCACCTTTAATTTTCTTCTTTTGCACACCTACCAAATTCATCACCAATCTCTGCAACTTCTCTTCAGAATCTCCAAGAGCACAGTGTCATCAGCAAAGAGCAGCTGTGACAACTCCCACTTTGTGTGTGATTCTTTATCTTTTAACTCCCCGCCTCTTGCCAAGACCCTCGCATTTACTTCTCTTACAAACCCATCTATAAATATATTAAACAACCACGGTGACATCACACATCCTTGTCTAAGGCCTACTTTTACTGGGAAAAAATTTCCTCTTTCCTACATACTCTAACTTGAGCCTCACTATCCTCGTAAAAAACTCTTCACTGCTTCAGTAACCTACCTCCTACACCATACATTGCAACATCTGCCACATTGCCCCCCTATCCACCCTGTCATACGCCTTTTCCAAATCCATAAATGCCACAAAGACCTCTTTAGCCTTATCTAAATACTGTTCACTTATATGTTTCACTGTAAACACCTGGTCCACACACCCCTACCTTTCCTAAAGGCCTCCTTGTTCATCTGCTATCCTATTCTCCGTCTTACTTTAATTCTTTCAATTATAACTCTACCATACACTTTACAGGTACATCAACAGACTTATCCCCCTATAATTTTTGCACTCTCTTTTATCCCCTTTGCCTTTATACAAAGGAATATGCATGCTCTCTGCCAATCCCTAGGTACCTTACCCTTTCCATACATTTATAAAATAATTGCACCAACCACTCCAAAACTATATCCCCACCTGCTTTTACAATTTCTATCTTTATCCCATCAATCCCGGCTGCCTTACCCCCTTTCATTTTACCTACTGCCTCACGAACTTCCCCCACACTTCACAACTGGCTCTTCCTCACTCCTACAAGATGGTTATTTCCTCCTTGCCCTATACACGAAATCACAGCTTCCCTATCTTCATCAACATTTAACAATTCCTCAAAATATTCCCTCCATCTTCCCAATACCTCTAACTCTCCATTTAATAACTCTCCTCTCCTATTTTTAACTGACAAATCCATTTGTTCTCTAGGCTTTCTTAACTTGTTAATCTCACTCCAAAACTTTTTCTTATTTTCAACAAAATTTGTTGATAACATCTCACCCACTCTCTCATTTGCTCTCTTTTTACATTGCTTCACCACTCTCTTAACTTCTCTCTTTTTTCTCCATATACTCTTCCCTCCTTGCATCACTTCTACTTTGTAAAAACTTCTCATTTTGCTAACTTTTTTTTCCCTTACTACTCTCTTTACATCATCATTCCACCAATCGCTCCTCTTCCCTCTGCACCCACTTTCCTGTAACCACAAACTTCTGCTGAACACTCTAACATACATTTTTAAAACCTACCCCATACCTCTTCGACCCCATTGCCTATGCTCTCATTAGCCCATCTATCCTCCAATAGCTGTTTATATCTTACCCTAACTGCCTCCTCTTTTAGTTTATAAACCTTCACCTCTCTCTTCCCTGATGCTTCTATTCTCCTTGTATCCCATCTACCTTTTACTCTCAGTGTAGCTACAACTAGAAAGTGATCTGATATATCTGTGGCCCCTCTATAAACATGTACATCCTGAAGTCTACTCAACAGTCTTTTATCTACCAATACATAATCCAACAAACTACTGTCATTTCGCCCTACATCATATCGTGTATTTCTTATTTATCCTCTTTTTCTTAAAATATGTATTACCTATAACTAAACCCTTTCTATACAAAGTTCAATCAAAGGGCTCCCATTATCATTTACACCTGGCACCCCAAACTTACCTACACACCCTCTCTAAAAGTTTCTCCTACTTTAGCATTCAAGTCCCTACCACAATTACTCTCTCACTTGGTTCAAAGGCTCCTATACATTCACTTAACATCTCCCCAAAAACTCTCTCTCTCCTCTGCATTCTCTCTTCTCCAGGTGGGATACACGCTTATTATGACCCACTTCTCGCATCCAACCTTTACTTTAATCCACATAATTCTTGAATTTACACATTCATATTCTCTTTTCTCCTTCCATAACTGATCATTTAACATTACTGCTACCCCTTCCTTTGCTCTAACTCTCTCAGATACTCCAGATTTAATCCCATTTATTTCCCCCCACTGAAACTCTCCTACCCCCTTCAGCTTTGTTTCGCTTAGGGCCAGGACATCCAACTTCTTTTCATTCATAACATCAGCAATCATCTGTTTTTTGTCATCCGCACTACATCCACGCACATTTAAGCAACCCAGTTTTATAAAGTTTTTCTTCTTCTCTTTTTAGTAATTGTATACAGGAGAAGGGGTTACTAGCCATTGCTCCCGGCATTTTAGTCGCCTCATACGACACGCATGGCTTACGGAGGAAAGATTCTTTTCCACTTCCCCATGGACAATAGAAGAAATAAAAAGAACAAGAGCTATTTAGAAAAAGGAGAAAAACTAGATGTATGTATATATATATATATGCATGTGCGTGTCTGTGAAGTGTGACCAAAGTGTAAGTAGGAGTAGCAAGATATCCCTGTTATCTTAGCGTGTTTTTTGAGACAGAAAAAGAAACCAGCAATCCTACCATCACGCAAAACAGTTACAGGTTTTTGTTTCACAGTCATCTGGCAGGACGGTAGTACTTCCCTGGGTGGTTGCTGTCTATATATATATATATATATATATATATATTATATATATATATATATATATATATTATATATATATATATATATATATATATATATATAGGTAGTAGGTTGGTAGACAGCAACCACCTAGGGAGGTACTACCGTCCTGCCAAGTGAGCGTAAAACGGAAACCTGTAATTGCTTTATATGATGGTAGGATTGCTGGTGTCTTTTTTTCTGTCTCATAAACATGCAAGATTTCAGGTACGTCTTGCTACTTCTTCTTACACTTAGGACACACTACACATATATGTACAAGCATGTGTATATATACACACACCCCTCTGGGTTTTCTTCTATTTTCTTACTAGTTCTTGTTCTTGTTTATTTCCTGTTATCTCCATGGGGAAGTGGAACAGAATTCTTCCTCCGTAAGTCATACGTGTTGTAAGAGGCGACTAAAATGCCAGGACCAAGCGGCTAGTAACCCCTTCTCCTGTATATATTACTAAATGTAAAAGGAGAAACTTTCGTTTTTTCTTTTGGGCCACCCTGCCTCGGTGGGATACGGCCGGTGTGTTGAAAGATATATATTATATATAATATATATATATATATATATATATATATATATATAATATATATATATATATATATATATATATATATATATGGATAGATAAATAGTGCATCTATCGGGTGGTTGCAGGTACTGGACATCTCAGGCAACATGTTGACTGGCCTCACACAAGCAACCTTCAAACACGGCTCGGTTATCGAGGTACTTCTTCTTGGCTCCAACTGGATCACCGCCATCCATCCGCGAGCCTTCGTGCCTCTCACCCGCCTCAGGCACCTCGATCTCTCCAACAACTATCTGGAGGGGCTGGACACTGCGGCGCTGGAACCCGTAGAGAGGAACCTGGAAACCCTCCAGCTAGATGGGAACCCTCTGATATGCGGGTGTGGAGTGAAGGAGCTCTGGATGTGGCTGCAGGATCACCTCTCCTACGTTCCGGATCCTACCGCTCTCACCTGCAGTCTTCCCAAGGTGACTATCACCAGTGTCCTCACAGTTACGTGTTTACGGTGATGCGCTGAAAGCTCAGTGAAGTTATAAAATGACACAAATGCAAATGCAACATTTTATTGTGGCAACGTTTTGCTCTCCAGGAGAGCGAAACGTTGCCATAATATGGGCGAAATGTTGCTATAACTAAGCTTCGTCAAGTTGCATACTCGTCTCCTTTTACACACCCGTCGGTATTATGTACAGTGACCCTCGCTTAGGAGGCTCCTCTATACAGTGCGATCTGTTTTTTTTTTTTTTTTTTTGTAGGTGTAAATGCGATTGAATAAGTGGATCTGAAGTTAATTATCAGGTGAAATTGATGTTTATTTTGAGATGAAGTTGTTAACTGCATTTACAAGGAATTCCACACTGTTTATAATGAATTTTGTAAGATGGGGGGGGGGGGGCACTGTGGCCTCGTTCAAAAAGTGTTTCCTGGCGAGCGAAACACCAATCTAGTCCTAATATTCTGGTAGTGACTCTCTCACTCTCTCCCCGGCAGGTACTCAGCGGGTTGTCGTTCTTGTTGCTGTCGTCGTCAGCGTTCTGCCCACAGCCACTGATTGTCCGCCTCTCCGTACAAGACATCCAGAGTCATTCCCTCCTGGTCTCCTGGCAAGCAACAAACACCTCTACCATCTACGGCTTTAAGGTCCTTTCTCGCATGCTCTTCCTGTTATATATATATATATATATATATATATATATATATATATATAATATATATATATATATATATATTAATATGCAAATCACCTGTTTACTGTGATCTTATTGCATATATATATATATATATATATATATATATATATATATATATATATATATATATATATATATATATATATATATATATATATATATATATATGCAAAACAACCACTCTGAAAGAATAGAGAAATTCCAAGCGCTTTCGTGACTACTCACATTATCAAAGAACATAGTTCCTTGATAATGTGAGTAGTCACGAAAGCGCTTGGAATTTCTCTATTCTTTCAGAGTGGTTGTTTTGCATATTCTGAAATCACCTGTTTACTGTGATCTTATTGCTTTATATACATATATATATATATATATATATATATATATATATATATATATATATATAATATATATATATATATATATTTTTATATATATATATATATATAGTGGGGGGGTGAAGAGGGTTGGAATAGTTTTAAAAATGCAGTATTAGAATGTGGGGCAGAAGTTTGTGGTTATAGGGGGGTGGGTGCAGGAGGAAAGAGGAGTGATTGGTGGAATGATGAAGTAAAGGGTGTGATAAAAGAGAAAAAGGTAGCTTACGATAGATTTTTACAAAGCAGAAGTGTTATAAGAAGAGCAGAGTATATGGAGAGTAAAAGAAAGGTAAAGAGAGTGGTGAGAGAGTGCAAAAGGAGAGCAGATGATAGAGTGGGAGAGGCACTGTCAAGAAATTTTAATGAAAATAAAAAATTTTGGAGTGAGTTAAACAAGTTAAGAAAGCCTAGGGAAAGTATGGATTTGTCAGTTAAAAACAGAGTAGGGGAGTTAGTAGATGGGGAGATGGAGGTATTAGGTAGATGGCGAGAATATTTTGAGGAACTTTTAAATGTTGAGGAAGAAAGAGAGGCGGTAATTTCATGCACTGGTCAGGGAGGTATACCATCTTTTAGGAGTGAAGAAGAGCAGAATGTAAGTGTGGTGGAGGTACGTGAGGCATTATGTAGAATGAAAGGGGGTAAAGCAGCTGGAACTGATGGGATCATGACAGAAATGTTAAAAGCAGGGGGGGATATAGTGTTGGAGTGGTTGGTACTTTTGTTTAATAAATGTATGAAAGAGGGGAAGGTACCTAGGGATTGGCGGAGAGCATGTATAGTCCCTTTATATAAAGGGAAAGGGGGACAAAAGAGATTGTAAAAATTACAGAGGAATAAGTTTACTGAGTATGCCAGGAAAAGTGTACGGTAGGGTTATAATTGAAAGAATTAGAGGTAAGACAGAATGTAGGATTGCGGATGAGCAAGGAGGCTTCAGAGTGGGTAGGGGATGTGTAGATCAAGTGTTTACATTGAAACATATATGTGAACAGTATTTAGATAAAGGTAGGGAAGTTTTTATTGCATTTATGGATTTAGAAAAGGCATATGATAGAGTGGATAGAGGAGCAATGTGGCAGATGTTGCAAGTATATGGAATAGGTGGTAAGTTACTAAATGCTGTAAAGAGTTTTTATGAGGATAGTGAGGCTCAGGTTAGGGTGTGTAGAAGAGAGGGAGAATACTTCCCGGTAAAAGTAGGTCTTAGACAGGGATGTGTAATGCCACCATGGTTGTTTAATATATTTATAGATGGGGTTGTAAAGGAAGTAAATGCTAGGGTGCTCGGGAGAGGGGTGGGATTAAATTATGGGGAATCAAATTCAAAATGGGAATTGACACAGTTACTTTTTGCTGATGATACTGTGCTTATGGGAGATTCTAAAGAAAAATTGCAAAGGTTAGTGGATGAGTTTGGGAATGTGTGTAAAGGTAGAAAGTTGAAAGTGAACATAGAAAAGAGTAAGGTGATGAGGGTATCAAATGATTTAGATAAAGAAAAATTGGATATCAAATTGGGGAGGAGGAGGTGGAAGAAGTGAATGTTTTCAGATACTTGGGAGTTGACGTGTCGGCGGATGGATTTATGAAGGATGAGGTTAATCATAGAATTGATGAGGGAAAAAAGGTGAGTGGTGCGTTGAGGTATATGTGGAGTCAAAAAACGTTATCTATGGAGGCAAAGAAGGGAATGTATGAAAGTATAGTAGTACCAACAGTCTTATATGGGTGTGAAGCTTGGGTGGTAAATGCAGCAGCGAGGAGACGGTTGGAGGCAGCGGAGATGTCCTGTTTAAGGGCAATGTGTGGTGTAAATATTATGCAGAAAATTCGGAGTGTGGAAATTAGGAGAAGGTGTGGAGTTAATAAATGTATTAGTCAGAGGGCAGAAGAGGGGTTGTTGAGGGGGTTTGGTCATTTAGAGAGAATGGATCAAAGTAGAATGACATGGAAAACATATAAATCTATAGGGGAAGGAAGGCGGGGTAGGGTCGTCCTCGAAAGGGTTGGAGAGAGGGAGGGTAAAAGGGGGTTTTGTGGGCGAGGGGCTTGGACTTCCAGCAAGCGTGCGTGAGCGTGTTAGATAGGAGTGAATGGAGACGAATGGTACTTGGGCCTGCGATCTGTTGGAGTGTGGCAGGGGTAATATTTAGTGAAGGGTTCAGGGAAAAACCGGTTATTTTCTATAGTGGATTTGAGCCCCGGAAATGTGAAGTACAATGCCTGACTTTAAAGGAGGGTTGGGATATTGGCATTTGGAGGGAATGTTGTGATCTTTATACGTATTTCTTCTAAAGTTGTATTCTGAGCACCTCTGCAAAACAGTGATTATGTGGGGGTTGGTGAGTGTTGAATGATGATGAAAGTATTTTTTTTTGGGGGATTTTCTTTTTTTTTTGGGGCACCCCGCCTCGGTGGGGACGGCCGACTTTTTGAATATATATATATATTATAATTAATATATATTTATATATATTATTTTTATATATAATATTAATATATATTATATATTTTCGTATTACCCCAATTGTCTATTCAGGTTTGAGCCCAAATAAGAGTACTCCCAAATTCCATGGATCAAGCCCTTCCCCCCATTGTAAATCACCACCTGTGTTCTCTGTAGTAAATTACCTCTTCTGTAATTAAATGCTTTTTTTCCGTACTGTAAATGGCCTTAGGGCGTCTCCATTGAAACCCCCACAATAAAAAAAATGGAAATCCCGTATTAAACAATACACAAAAAAAAAAAAAAACCCCCCCCACAGGGGAAAAGGAGCTGACTACGTTTCGCTCCGACTTGGACCAGTTACAAGTTGTAAATGTCCTCCTTCACTCCAGACCACTTATAACTGGGTGCTTAGCTGGCACCAGGCAGGTGGCACCAGGCAGGTGGCACCAGACAGGTGGCACCGGGCGGGTTTGGCCCAGGCAGGGGGCACCAGGCAGGTGGCACCAGGCGGGTGGCACCAGGCAGGGGGCACCAGGCAGGTGGCACCAGGCAGGTGGCACCAGGCAGGTGGCACCAGACAGATGGCACCAGGCAGGTGGCACCAGGCAGGTGGCAGCAGGCAGGTGGCACCAGGCATGTGGCACCAGGCAGGTGGCACCAAGGAGGTGGCACCAGGCAGGTGGCACCAGGCAGGTGGCACCAGGCAGATGGCACCAAGGAGGTGGCACCAGGCAGGTGTCACCAGGCAGGTGTCACCAGGCAGGTGTCACCAAGCAGGTGTCACCAGGCAGGTGGCACCAGGCAGGTGGCACCAGGCAGGTGGCACCAGGCAGGTGGCACCAGGCAGGTGGCACCAGGCAGGTGGCACCAAGTTACTTCATCTTAACTGCTACATGTACTGACCCACGAGTGACATAAGAACATAAGAAAGGAGGAACACTACAGGAGGCCTGTTGGCCCATACTAGGCAGGTCCTTTACAATTCATCCCACTAACATAACATTGCCCAACCCAATTTTCAATGCCACCCAAGAAATAAGCTCTGATGTGAAAGTCCCACTCAAATCCAACCCCTCCCACTCATGTACTTATCCAACCTAAATTTGAAACTACCCAAAGTCCTAGCCTCAATAACCCAACTAGGTAGACTGTTCCACTCATCTACTACCCTATTTCCAAACCAATACTTTCCTATGTCCTTTCTAAATCTAAACTTATCTAATTTAAATCCATTACTGCGGTTCTCTCTTGGAGAGACATCCTCAAGACCTTATTAATACCCCCTTTTATTAATACCTATCTTCCACTTATACACTTCGATCAGGTCTCCCCCTCATTCTTCGTCTAACAAGTGAATGTAACTTAAGAGTCTTCAATCTTTCTTCATAAGGAAGATTTCTAATGCTATGTATTAATTTAGTCATCCTACGCTGAATGTTTTCTAACGAATTTATGTCCATTCTGTAATATGGAGACCAGAATTGAGCTGCATAATCTAGGTGAGGCCTTACTAATGATGTATAAAGCTGCAGTATGACCTCTGGACTTCTGTTGCTTACACTTCTTGATATAAATCCCAGTAATCTATTTGCCTTATTACGTACGCTTAGGCATTGCTGTCTTGGTTTAAGGTTGCTGCTGAAGATTGAGACACTTATGCAGCATATGACCCCGCCTCTGCCTGCTTCACCTCACCTCACTACAGTATATAAGCCACGTCTACGGCCCTATGCTGTACATTCTACAAGATTGATGGACTGAACACATCGACTCCAGGCTGAGGGACTGATTACCTCATACTCCGCCTCTCCTTACGCCTTCCTCTTTGTATTGGACTGATGAAGCCACTGTGTGGCGAAACGTTTCCTGAATAAAGATCCCCATATGCTGCATAAGTGTCTCAATCTTCAACTTGTCGATTTTTCAAACCATTCATCACAAGGTTGCTGCTCACCATAACCCCCAAGTCCTTTTCGCAATCTGTATGGCTAAGTTCTACATCATTTAACTTATAAGTACTAGGGTTATGGACACTCCCGAGCTTCAGAACCTTGCGTTTATCTACATTGAACTGCATCTGCCACTTTTCTGACCAAGAATAGAGTTTGTTTAAATCCTCCTGAAGTTCCATAACATCTACGTTTGAATCAATTATCCTACCTATCTTTGTGTCATCGGCGAATTTGCTCATATCACTAGTAATTCCCTCATCAAGATCATTGATATATATTATAAACAACAACGGGCCCAAGACTGATCCCTGTGGAACGCCACTTGTTACTGATCCCCACTCGGATTTAACCCATTTATGGACACTCTCTGCTTCCTGTCTGTGAGCCATGATTTGATCCACGAGAGCACCCTTCCACCAATGCCATGAGCTGCCACTTTCTTTAACAGTCTATGGTGCGGAACTCTATTAAAAGCCTTACTAAAATCTAAGTAAATAATTTTCAAATTCTTTATCGTGGTCAACAGCCTCAAAAGCTTTACTGAAGAAAGTTAATAAATTAGTTAGACAAGACCGGCCTCTTGTGAATCCATGCTGAGTATCATTAATCAAGCTATGCTTATCGAGATGGCTTCTTATAATCTCAGCTATAATTGACTCTAGTAATTTGCCTACAATTGAGGTCAGGCTTATTGGGCGGTAATTTGACGGTAACGACTTGTCCCCTGTTTTAAAAATAGGAATTACATTAGCCATCTTCCACATATCAGACACTACACCTGTTTGAAGAGATAAATTAAAAATATTAGTTAATGGTTCACAGACTTCCATTTTGCATTCCTTAATAAATATAATTGTCAATAATTGTAATTGTTAATTATAATTTGGTCACTCGTCCGCAGACTGTTAGGCATTTTAGCATTAACAATGGCAGGTGGGCGCCGTGTGTTAAGGTGCCATAACTTGGCACCTGCCTGGTGGTGCCATAACTTGGCATCTGTCTGGTGGTGCCATAACTTGGCACCTGCTTGGTGCCACCTGCCTCTGGGAAACAACACCTACTCCGTGTTGAAGCACTCACTTATGTATGGTCTAGCACAGTGGACTGTGTCAGCAGCATGCCTTCATTCTTGGGGCCCTGAAGCTTGAACTGTTATGGGAGCCCCATCTCAACCCCTTCACATACAGTAAACCCAAAAGCTTTAAGCAATGTGGATTAAAGTTGCTTCTAGGGCCCCAGTGTAGCATATCCATCAGGACAAGAGGGGGAGACAACCCTCCCCTACCCATCCGGAACAAGCTACCTCTCCCTAACCTAACCTACACTGGCAGGGATGTTTATGTTGAGATATGAGCATTGACCTTCCGAGTTCTTGTTCATTTTTGGTCCTAGGGATTCCTGGATGGTAGGGGGTCCTGGGGGAAGGGTTCTGGGGGGTAGAGGGTTCTAGGGAAAGAGTTTTGGTGGGTAATGAGTCCTAGGGGAAGGGTTTTAGATGGTAGGAGGTCCTAGGGTTTCTGGAGGGTGGGTGTCCTAGGGGTTCTGGAGGGTTGGTGTCCTAGGGGTTCTGGAGGGTGGTGGTCTTCGGGAGGGTGGGGGTTCTATGTAGGTGTGAGGTGTGGATGTGAGGGTGGGGGTTCTGTGTGAACCTCGAGAATATGGTTCTACCATGAATAAAGTAACTTTCTCCATACTTCCACCAGGTGTCCTTCCGTGAGACCACGTCAGACGGCCGGGTCATAGGCGGTCTCAAAACCCAGTCACTGCCAGCCACGCCCAAGACCCACCTGCTGAAGGGTCTGAGACCCAGCACTGACTACCTGGTGTGTGTGGAGGGTCTGGCAGCAGCCCCGGCACCAGCAACCAGCTCCACAACACAGGGACACACTCCACCACACCAGCAGGGACTCCACCAAAACAACGGACTGTACCTCAACCAGCCGGTGGGTTGTTAGTAGTGGTGATGGTCTCCATTCTTGTGGAAAACCCATCCTATGGTCACTTTAGAATTGCTAATTAACCTTTTTAATGGCATTATTAACCCTTAGCGCAGTCTACACAATAAGGAACGTCAGGCACTACAGAAGACACAAGACACTGCCATTGTTCCACCTAACTCAGTCATGTGTTGCATGTCTCCTAAGTTGAGTGAGGAAGAGCGTTATATTTCTCGAGTCCCAGTGTTGTTAATAAGCTTCCTCGGGTGCTCTAGACTGGCACACTAGGTTATAAATTTTATTCATCTCATCGTCACAGAATTCTGGGTCACACACACACACACACACACACACACACACACACACACACACACACACACACACACACACACACACACACACACACACACACACACACACACACACACACACACACACACACACACACACACACACACACACACACACATACGCAAGGTCCTCAGACACACGGTTAAAAACACAGAGGAATATATATATGTGTGTGTGTGTGTGTATACGATGAGAGGTGGGCATCTATCATTTTATGTACACCGAAAGGTGTGTGTATGTGGTGTGTGTGTGTGTGTGTGTGTGTGTTCTTACCTATTTGTTCTTACATATTTGTGGTTGCAGGACTTGATTCACAGCTCCTGGTCCCGCCTTTTCGCTGGTCGCTACTAAGTCCACTCTCTCCCTGCTCCACGAGCTTTATAATATCTTTGTGACTGAAGAAATACTTCCTAACATCCGTGTGACTCATCTGAGTTTTCAGCTTCCAATTGTGACCCCTTATTGCTGTGACTCATCTCTGAAACATTCTGTCCCTATCCATCCTGTCAGTTCATCTCAGTATTGTCCTCCAGTGTCGTCAGCTGATTTCCTTTCCGTCAGGTATTATCTGATCCATTGCAGTGCCTTTCCTCTTATTCCTGCCTGCTTCTCTAGCTTTTTGCATTAATATCTTATGGGGAACTGTCGATAATCTTCTTACAGTCCAAGAAAATGCAATCTACCCACCCCTCTCTAGGTCTTACTTCTGTCACCTTGTGAAACTCCAGCAGTTTTGCGACACAGGATTTCCCTTCCGAGACCGTGCTGGTTATCATGCATGTGTGTGTGTGTGTGTACTCACCTAGTTGAGGTTGCAGGGGTCGAGTCCAAGCTCCTGGCCTCGCCTCTTCACTGGTCGCTACTAGGTCCTCTCTCTCTCCCTGCTCCATGAGCTTTATCATACCTCGTCTTAACGCTATGTATGGTACCTGCATCCACTACATCGCTCGCCAGACTATTCCATTTCCTGACCACTCTGTGACTGAAGAACTGCTTCCTAACAACCCTGTGGCTCATCTGAGTCTTCAACTTCCAATTGTGACGTCTTGTTGCTGTGTCCCATCTCTGGAACATCCTGTCTCTGTCCACGTTGTCTATTCCACGGAGTATTTTGTATGTTGTTATCGTGTGTGTGTGTGTGTTGTTGTTGTTGTGGTTGTTGTTTCTCGGTGTATATACGCCCCGAGAGGTGTGTATCTCTCAGTATAAATACACTGAGAGATACACACCATTTTAAAGATTAAAGTATTCTTAGACTGGTGGTGTTGAGGTTATATGCAGTCTTAATGACCCTCGGGTAGTCGATAGGGTTGAACCCAATAAAAAAAAAAAAACAGGAACACAGATGAGAACACAAAGTCTTCAGAAACACACATAAAAATAGTTAAGAGATTGCTTGGTATAAAACAGGTAAGGAACGGCTGTTGTTAAATCAGTACTGATTTAAGACAGTTAAGGCGGTTCAATGACTAGGGTGTCAAACTGCCCTTCAGGGGATGGCAGCTGTTAGGCTGCTCTTTGTTAACAATTCTTAGACTAGTTGTAGTAGTACCAATAATAATAATAATAATAAATAATAATAATAATAATAATAATAATAATAATAATAATAATAATAATATATTATTATTATTATTATTATTATTATTATTATTATTATTATTATCATTAATTAAGTGCACAATAACGCAAGTAAATGGGAAAAGAGAAAAAATATAATATATATATATATATATATATATATATATATATATATATATATATATATATATATAATATTATATATATATATATATAATATATTCAGAAAGATTAGGCCCCAGAGCTTTATTTACGATGATGGGATCAAGGAAAGATAATAATGTAATTCATAAAGATAATATTAAATCTGGAGAAGGATGAGATTACATTAGAAGAGCAGAAGCAGGAGTTAAGAAGGGATTTTCTGCAGCCAGAAATGTAGGTATAATCATGCTCACGTTCAGGGTTATTATACCTGGGAGACAGACAGAGACAGAGAGAGAGAGACAGACAGAGAGACAGACAGAGAGACAGAGAGACAGAGAGACAGAGACAGAGAGAGAGACAGAGAGAAACTCTTACATCTATTGATATCCAATAAATTTCTGACATTTTCTTATGAGTCTCTCAGGGTGCGTTGGGTCGTCTTACTAGATGACATGTTCTCTCTCTCTCTCTCTCTCTCTCTCTCTCTCTCTCTCTCTCTCTCTCTCTCTCTTCTCTCTCTCTCTCTCTCTCCTCTCTCTCTCTTCTCTTCTCTCTCTCTCTCTCCCTTTCTACGTTATCCATTCACCTCTGTCCCTTTGTACGTTCACATCTCTCCTTTTATTCCATCGTATCTCCCTTACCCTCTCCCCTTCATGTCTCTCTCTCTCTCTCTTCCACCTAAATGCAATACTACTACAGTAGTAGTATAGTAGTAATAATAGTAGTAGTGGTGTAACAGTAGTAGTTACAGTACAGTCTTCATCTCTCTCATTTCCAACCACCGCAACATTCATCATCTCTCCCCACCCTCTATCCCCCAGGACATGGCTAGCAAGTGTCTGAGGGTGAAGACTCAGGAACCACCTCCCCCAGAGATCGTCCTCAACAACCGCCTGGCTATCATGATCGGAGCCTCACTGGGGATCACCATCTTCCTGGTGGCCGGGGCTGTCATCTGCTGCTGTCAGATGTGTAAAGACAAGCGGGAGGCTGCCAAGAGGGAGGCTCCACCCTCCCAGGACTACCTCTCCTACAGGCAGTTCTCCGTCCAGGGGCAGGAAGCGAACGCAGTTGAAGAACACACGGAGTGCTAGGACATCTCTTCCCAAGAAATTGCCAACGGGAAATCCTGTTTCCGCGGGATATATTAGGGACAACGAACGCGAATTCACACACCTGGGACACTTCTGTTGATGTGTTTTAAGTGATCGAAATCTCAGAGGAGGCCAAAAAGTCCCCTTTGGGAATTTGAAAAAATAAATGTGGAGAAAACGTCTCAGAGCATTTTAAAACGTTGAAAATAACGCGAGAAAACGCGTTTTTTATTGGAATTATTGACAGTTTACAGCGATTGGAGGTATTTTTTTGTTATTCGAAGTAAATTTGGGTTCGGGGAGCGCTGGCATCGAACCCGAGTACTCTGTGGCGAGCGCAGCAAGTGTAACCACTCAGCTCCGTCGATGAGAAATATCTTCGGCTTCGGGGCTGCAAAAATCAGTGATTAATCTCTCAATTTGAAGTGCGAAGTGCCAGGAACTGTTTGACGATTTGTAGTGCCAGGTAAAAGAAAAGGAAAAAGATTTCGCGATTTGAGACGCGAGAGCGAGGAATTGTTTCGCGATTTGAGGCCCAAATCAGAAGAATCTGAGTTCGATGTTTGGCGCTATGAGAACGACCCGCAAATATTGTAAAATTAACCCCGAGTTATGCACGAGTTAAAGGGAACATGTTTAAAATATAAAAGTTACCCCCCATCCAAGCTTAATGACTATGATTTTAGGGGAGACATTAACATATATTGATATATATTTCGGAGTAAAAGCATATGTGAAAAATATGACTACTTAAGGTGTTAGTTGTCTAGAGCAATGTTTTATTCCCCTCATAACTGTTACTAGCGATTGAAATATACAAGTGTTCCCATATTCAAAAAATATATATATATTTTATATATATATATATATATATATATTTTTAATATATTATATATATATAATATATATATATATATATATAAATATATATATATATATATATATATATATATCGATATATTTTGCATTTTAAATGTTATAGTTTATCTTGAAATTTGCAACCATGGTGGGAAAAATATGTATAGAAATGTATATAATAATATTTAAGCAAGAAGGATTCAGGTGAATATTTAGAAGATAGTGAGGCAGTGACGAGATAGATGGTGTGGGTAAGTTAGATTTAGATTTAGAACCTTTGTTTGTAATCATTGCATTTACAACATATACAGTAATTAACGAACCCATAGGTTGCACACCAGTGCGGGCAAGATGGATGTGTGTGTGTGTGTGTGTGTGTGTGTGTGTGTGTGTGTGTGTGTGTGTGTGTGTGTGTGTGCACCTCAGCACCGTCATAGAGAGAATCTTAGAACTTCTGAGTCACGCTAGAGGAATTGCACTTAACCTTTGCGTCTGTTTTGAATTTGAAGCTAAAATCTTAGAGTCAGCAGCAGTTGTGTGAGGGAGAGAAGTGAGGATTGAGGGAGAGAAGTGAGGAGTGAGGGAGAGAAGTGAGGAGTGAGGGAGAGAAGTGAGAGGAGACAGACTGACGTATACCTCTCAGTGTATATACACCGTTAAGTGTATAATCTCTGGGTATTTATACACCGTGTGATGTATGCCTCCGAGTATACACACTCTCTGAGAGTCTGATCCATTCTTTGGGTATTAAAGTGTTCTTGGCTGGTGGTGAACAGGTGACACGCAGCCTTGATGACCCTCGTGTCGTGCGACAGACCTTAAACCTCAAACGAGTAAGTCAGCCTCACCCATCACCCACACCTTGCTATGGTCTCCTCCCCAGTCAAAACGACATATATCCTGTGAGAGATGAACCCACAGCGTCCCTCACATCTTCTATGGACACCATCTACCAGCTGGCCTGAGCCGCTGTCAACAGTACTTGTACCCATCTACCTGGTTCTTGACAGGTGGCCTCCCTGTCTATTAAAATCAAAGCTGAATGTCCATCTATCTATTTGGTGTATGTGTGTATTTATTTATATGCATTAAAACATAATACCACTGTTCCATCTCTTAACCTTTAACTTGATTTTTTGGTCTAGTATCTAGTGTCTAGTATCTAGTATCTAGTATCTAGTATCTAGTCAAAAATTTTCCTGTTATTAATATTAGCCCGGAGGAAATTCTCGCCCTGAGGCAAGAATACAGATACACCTGTTTTTGTTCCTTCAGACACCCGTTTTGTTCCTTCAGACACCTGTTTCGTTCCTTCAGACACCTGTTTCGTTCCTTCAGACACCTGTTTCGTTCCTTCAGACACCTGTTTCGTTCCTTCAGACACTTGTTTTGCTCCTTCAGACACCTGTTTTTAGACACCTGTTCCTTCAGACACCTGTTTTGTTCCTTCAGACACCTGTTTTGTTCCTTCAGACACCTGTTTTGTTCCTTCAGACACCCGTTTTGTTCCTTCAGACACCTGTTTTGTTCCTTCAGACACCCGTTTTGTTCCTTCAGACACCTGTTTTTGTTCCTTCAGACACCTGTTTTGTTCCTTCAGACACTTGTTTTGTTCCTTCAGACACCTGTTTTTGTTCCTTCAGACACCCGTTTTTGTTCCTTCAGACACCTGTTTCGTTCCTTCAGACACCTGTTTTGTTCCTTCAGACACTTGTTTTGTTCCTTCAGACACCTGTTTTGCTCCTTCAGACACCTGTTTTGTTCCTTCAGACACTGTTTTTTAGAAAACCCTGTTTCCTTAGAACCCGTTTTGTTCCTTCGAAAACTGTTTTTTTTCCCTTTAACACTTGTTTTTTTCCTTCAACACTTTTTTTTTTTCCTTCAGACACCTTTTTGTTTTTCAGACACCCCTTTTTTTTTCCTTTAGACACCCGTTTTTGTTTTTCCCCCGACACCCTTTTTGTTCCTTCGACACCTGTTTTGTTCCTTTAGACACCCCTTTTTTTTCCTTCAACACCGTTTTTTTTCCCTTTAGCACCCCGTTTTTTTCCTTCAACACCTGTTTTTTTTTCCTTCAACACCTGTTTTTGTTTTCCCTTTAGACACCCGTTTTGTTCCTTCAGCCCTTTTTTGTCCTTCAGACACCCTTTTTTTTCTTCAAACACCTGTTTTTTTTTCCCTTTAACACCCGTTTTGTTCCTTCAGACACCCTTTTGTTCCCTTTAACACCTGTTTTTTTTCCCTTTAGACACCTGTTTCGTTCCTTCGACACCTGTTTTGTTCCCTTTAGACAAATTTTTTTTCCTTCAAAAACCCGTTTTTGTTCCTTTAAACCTTTTGTTCCTTCAACACCCGTTTTGTTCCCTTTAGACACCCGTTTTGTTTCCCTTCAGACACCCGTTTTGTTCCTTCAGAACCCCTGTTTTGTTCCTTTAGACACCCGTTTTTGTTTCCCTTCGACACCTGTTTTTGTTCCTTCAACACCTGTTTTTTCCTTTCAGGGCACCCCGTTTGTTCCCAGACACCCGTTTTTTTTTCCCTTTAGACAATGTTTTTTTTCCTTCAGACACCTGTTTTGTTTCCCTTTTGACACCGTTTTTTTCCTTCAGACAAACCCCTTTTGTTCTTTAAACACCTGTTTTTGTTCCTTCAGACACCTGTTTCGTTCCCAGACACCGTTTTGTTCCTTCAGACACCCCCTTTTGTTCCTTCAACACTTGTTTTGTTCCTTCAACACCTGTTTTTTTCCTTCAACACCGTTTTTTGACACCTTTTTCCCTTTAGACACCCTTTTTTTTTCCCTTTAACACCCGTTTTGTTCCCCTTCAGACACTTTTTTGTTTTCCCTTTAGACACTTGTTTTTTTTCCTTCAGACACCTGTTTTTTTTCCTTCAACACCCGTTTTTTTTCCTTCAGACACCTGTTTTTGTTCTTAGACACCTTTTTTGCTCCTTCGACCCTGTTTTGTTCCCTTTAGACACCCTTTTTTTCCTTCAGACACCTTTTGTTCCTTCGAACCCGTTTTTTTCCTTTGACACCTTTTTTGTTCCTTTAAGACACCTTTTTTTGCTCTTTAGACACCCGTTTTGTTCCTTCAGACCCGTTTTGTTCCTTCAGACACTTGTTTTGTTCCCCAGGAAAAACCCTTTTTTTTTCCTTTAGACACTGTTTTGTTCCCTTTAGACAACCCCTTTTTTTTCCCAACACCTGTTTTTTTTCCTTCAGACACCCGTTTTGCTCCTTCAACACCTTTTTTGTTCCTTCAGACACCTGTTTTTTTTTCCTTCAGACACTTTTTTTGTTCCTTCAGACATGTTTGTTCCTTCAACACCCCTTTTTTTCCTTCAGACACTGTTTTTGTTCCCTTTAACATTTTTTTGTTCCTTCAACCCTGTTTTGTTCCTTTGACCCCGTTTTGTTCCCCCCACCTGTTTTTGTTCCTTCAACACCCGTTTGCTCCTTAACACCCGTTTTTTTTCCTTCAGACACCTGTTTTGTTCTTCAGACACCCTTTTGTTCCTTAGACACGTTTTTTGTTCCTTCAGACCCGTTTTGTCCTTCAGACCTTTTTGTTCCCTTTAGACACTTGTTTTGTTCCCTTTAGACACTTTTTTGTTCCCTTTGACACTTGTTTTTTGTTCCTTAGACACCCGTTTTGTTCCCTTTAGAAACCCCCGTTTTGTTCCTTCAGACACCTGTTTGTTCCTTCAGACACCTGTTTTGTTTCCTTTAGACACCTGTTTGTTCCTTCAGAACAGTTTTGTTCCTTCAGACACCTGTTTTTTTTCCTTCAACACCGTTTGTTCCTTTAAAACATGTTTTGTTCCTTCAGACACCGTTTTTTTTCCTTAAGACACCCGTTTTTTTCCTTCAGACACATGTTTTGTTCCTTCGACACCTGTTTTTCTTCAGACACCTGTTTTGTTCCTTCAGACACATGTTTTGTTCCTTTAGACACCCGTTTTGCCTTCAGAACCTGTTTTTGTTCCCTTTAACACCTGTTTTGCTCCTTTAGGGGAAACCCGTTTTGTTCCTTCAACCCTGTTTTTTTTGACACCGTTCCCTTTAGACACCCCTTTGTTCCTTCAGAAAACCTGTTTTGTTCCTTTAACACTTGTTTTGTTCCCTTTAGACACTTGTTTTGTTCCTTTAACACTTGTTTTGTTCCCTTTAACCTTTTTTTTGTTCCTTCCGCACATGTTTTTGTTTCCTTCAGACACCTTTTTTTTCCTTAAAAAACACCCTTTTTTTTTTCCTTCAGACACCTGTTTTGCTCCTTCAGACACCTGTTTTGTTCCCTTTAGACACCTTTTTTTTCCTTAACACTTTTTTTGTTCCCTTTAACACTTGTTTTTTTCCCTTCAACCCTTTTTTGTTCCTTCGACACCCCCTTTTGTTTCCCTTTAGACACCTGTTTTTGTTCCCTTTTTGACACCTGTTTTTTTCTCCTTCAGACCCGTTTTTGTTCCTTCGACACCTTTTTTGTTCCTTTAGACACCCGTTTTTGTTCCTTCAGACACCGTTTTTTTTCCCTTCAGACACCCGTTTTGTTCCTTCAGACACCTGTTTTTTTTTTCCTTTAGACACCTGTTTTGCTCTTAACATTGTTTTGTTCCTTCAGACACTTTTTTAGACACCGTTCCTTCAACACCTGTTTTTTTCCTCAGACACCTGTTTTCGTTCCTTCGACACCTGTTTTGTTCCTTCCAAAACCCCCTTTGTTTTCCCTTTAACACTTGTTTTTTCTCCTTCAACACCTGTTTTTAGAAAAACCCTTTTTCCCTTTAGGGACCCCCGTTTTGTTCCTTCAGACACCCGTTTTGTTTCCCCAACACCGTTTTTCGTTCCTTCAGACACTTGTTTTGTTCCCTTTAACACCCGTTTCGTTCCTTTAAAACACTTTTTTGCTCCTTCAGACACCTGTTTTTAGACACCTGTTTTTTCAACACCCGTTTTTTTTCTT